TTTAATTGAAATTTCATTAATAAATTTTGAAGTCTATACATTAAACTATCTTTAATAGGTTTCTAAATAGTAAATTAAACATCAGATGGTAACAGTATACGGAAACTCATATATGCAAATTCGATAAAGAAGCAAGAATACGAAAAAACAAACGAGAATATTCTTGAACAAGAGCATGATAATTATATAAGTTCATGTATTTCTTTGAGTATTAATTCAAATAATATACTTTTGTCAAAATGTACATTCTCTAAATATTGTTGCAGAAGAAAGCGAGCGAGAGAGAGAAATAGCAGGGATAACCTGAAATGAGATGTGAAGAATGAGAAATAGAGTGGAAAAGAGTTGAATTAATAATTAATTAAATTTTTGAAGTTAATGAATAGTGTTCATGATTCATTTAAATAGATCAGATGAATGTAGAAATAGACAGTGATAGCATATCCTATGAATAACGTATAGAAGTTTAAGTGATTATAGTTTACATCGTCATCTTTACTAGTATGATCTTTTTCAGAAGATGTTTAATGATCAATAGAAGGGAAGATAGTCTACATATCTAACAGCTATGCCTCATAATATCATTAGAACCGAAAAAAACAATAAGAAAAATAAATTAATCATATATCATCAACCATCAGCTTTTCAATATCACTATTGCTTGTTTCTCGTTTCATGTATCTATCATATTTTATTTCGGTACATGTAATTTCATTTCTTTTTATTGTTAGTCAGTTCACTTGTGGACAGCTACACATGGATCGATCTTTTACTAATTATTTTTTTCGTTCTTTGATTTTACATTTTTATTATTCTTGATGTATGAACAGAGAGTTTTAAAATATCGTACTTCATCAGCAATGATAGCTATTTTTCATGTAGAATTCGTCTTTTTTTTTTTTAGTAAGACATAACTAGTACGTAAAATTAGCTGTATACAGTATATGTGTTAAGTATCTAACTACTTATCGAAATTATTGCATTATAGTTTCACAATGTAAATCGATTGGTTGAGCCATATTGAATCCGCGATTTTCTTTGTCATGTCTTGTGTGCGTGCTTTAAAATGCGCTAGGCAACAACTAGAAGACAAGTTTTTTTTTATAATATTGAATAGCAAGAAATTGTTGTGTCCAATAAAATCTCTGGTATTTGATTATGTACAAATAGAAGTTTTCTAAATGAATACGTATGTACATATATCTATCTATTATTGAGACGAATATATCCTACGAATAATGTGTATCTATTTAAAAATACTATCTAGGTCATTAGTTCTTTTTCATAGAAGATATTGTTGAACTATTCGACTTACCTGATGAAATAATCATAAATATTATGAATAAAGTAAAATCTCAAGCACTGGTACTTTCTTCTATTATTGTTATTGGAAATAAACTTTTGGAACAGCTCATACTTAATGAATGCTATTCAATTAATTTAATTTTTCATTACATAAAATCAGTAAGTTATATTTAATGGTAATTTTCTAAGTTAAATTCTATAGATATAACTTATAAATGTGATTGAAGAATTTTTAAATTTAATCTTAATTGAAATGAAGTGTAAAATAACATTACCTAAAAGATACTCTACTTCAACAATAATTAACCACACGAAACGCATAGATGTGATAATTTTTATTTTGATATATCATATTTTGTAGAGCATTTTCAGCTGATTATTTCGGTAAAAATGTTTGTTACAAAATCAAATTGCTGGAAATAGTCGCATTCTTCCACAGCAATTTGATGTATTCCAAGTCAAACATCGGCATTACTTGACGAAAATCGATAATTCTTGTTACTGAAATGGTCAATGGAAAAAACTCTACAAAATGAAATATAGCGAAAAGTTTTCAGATGCATATATATGTATTTGTGATTATCTATCCCTGCAAATATTCAATCAAAAGTTAAATATAATCATATGGGTTTCTCGAAAAATTTCTATATAAGAATGTCCGAGAGAATCCTGTGAAGTTAGATAGACTGGCGAAAACTGAGAAAATTTATGAACATGACATTCTGAATAATAGTTATTAGATAAGCCTATTATCTATTGTTTATCTTTACCAGAAAGTGTAAAACGTTTGTAGAAGTCCGATGAAATGGTGCCTTTTTCACCTTTAGAACGTAGATAAAATATGGAAACTCATTTATTTTTGTTAGAATATGGTTCATAGTCAAATTTGATAGTTGACTGAGTCTTTCATTGAGTTAATACCAGTTAATGAAAAACTAAAGAATAAACGTGTATTGTGTTGAAAGGATGTAAAAGTGAGAGAATTTGAAAAGTCAAAGAGAAGTACGATGCCAAGATTCAACTATAAGTTTCGTACCAGCGACGAAAATTTGCAAGAAATTTTTCATTCCAAACATCAGAAAAAGTGTTACCAACATAGGTCCAAAATGATCGATTATTTAATACCATATAAATCATTTCATTTATTTTATCATCCGGTAACACATCCATGAGAGCCAAAATAAGTTCGAACATGCCAGAGGAAGCTTTTCGATTCGAAGTATAATCATCAACATGTTCAATACTATTTACCTGACAAATAAGTGCCATTGGTTGATTTGTTTTACTATGATTATATAATTCAATCGACGATGCATATGGTTTCACAGAATCAATAGTTGCTGGTATCAAAGAACAGTTATCGACCGACCAGTCTTTCAATGCGTCTCTAAAAGTTGGTATAATGACATTATGTCGAGCTCGAGTATGTATGTTAGTATATACGAGAGCACAAAAGATGTTCTCCTCAATACAGCTCTCAATCAACCACACTAAATGATCTTTTTGAATCATAGTTATTGGACTAGCACAAAAAAGAAGACAAATTGGAGAATGAATTTGAACGATGTCATGTATGTAAGATTTAATGGAATTTTTAGTCCAAGGATCCAAACCAACTGTATTCCAAAATTTGACAGTATGTGGAAGACCTTTACGTTGATCAGTTTTAACAAAACAGCTAAATTCTTTTTGACGAGAACCTAGGCAAATATTTGTTGCATTGAGTCCTCGACCACATAGAGCACCGATTAATGTTGATTTTCCACTACGAGGCGGTCCAGCAACGATAACATGGTATTCTCGTGGATTATTTTCCAGTAAAATACCTGCATTGTCATTAAGTCCGAAATTTTTCAAAGCACGTTCTAATCGTATATACAGTCGTTCGTCCGATTTTGTTTCTAAATATGGAAAAAAAATCGTTTGATAATTTCAAATTCATTGTGAACGAGATCTCAAACAACGAGCACATTTCATTCAGAAGTATCAAATCTCTAGTGTAATGTCGCAACTGAAACGAGAAACATCTTCGAAACAGGTTTGCACTTTTCATATAGTTAGTAAATACATGTTAGAATAATTTTTTTTAATCAACTGATAGGAATTAGGCACCTCTTGAACTCTACCTTGCGACTCTTCATATAAAAAATTACCTGCTCTTGTCTTCTTCAAGACTTCAGTGACGTGCACAGCACCTTTAACTTTGTTCCAGTGCGACTTTTGCGACATCGACTCTGAAAAATGTTATAACTATTTCAAAAATATATTACTGAATGATATCTACCGTTTTTTGCCATTCGCGTCTTGATTATAGAAGTAATGTTAGAATGACGAAAAATTGTTTACTACTTATTTTATATATGTCTGTGAAGTGGCCAAGAATAAAATTGATTTTTTTTCCTATGCTATGCCGTTTTTTTTTCTTTTTCCTCACAACAATTTTTCTTTTATTATTTTAAGTAAAATTTTGAGTTTGAAAAAGAAGAACAATAGAATTCAACATGAAGTTGATGTGTGCGCGTGATATATTCTCAACTGCAAATTTAAATTCAATGTAAACAGAAAAAAAAGGTTTACAAATTGATTTCACAAACATGCCCTGGTGATAGTTATTCTCATATTTGATCTGAAAATTGAAACTCTAAAAACCAAAGGAAGTATAGACCATCAAGAGGTTATTTGTAAAGGAATAGAAATGATTCATCGAAGAGAAAGTACTCTTATGATAGAGTTACATGAAATAACCAGTAAGAGAATGATCATTGATTAATATCTTCTCTATCTATGGCCTGGCTATTAGCAAGATTAAGAAGACTTTGTGTGGAACTGTTTTATCACGAAAAACCTTTCCTTCCTTATTTTAGACCGGATAAATGGTAGCCAGCATAGCTATGAGGAACACTCCATAACTGAGACCATCACCAGCATTGTGTTTGTTCACCATGTTGTTGATTAACGCTCGAAGTATCAACCTAGGTTGCATAGCAATACTTTCATTTCGCGCATCTTCCCATGTCAATGAACAAATTACCAACAAACGAAACACAATCAATGAAGACACTGGAGTCAGTTCTTACAAAGGCACGGATGATGAATATTAATTGTGTGTGGGTAATAAAAAACAATAGACAAGAACACTTCGGAAAACTGATTCTAGATGCCAAAATTTTTCAAAAACTTACCAGCTATTTTCACGTTGCGGCATCGGCGGCGGCTCAATCGATCAGCTTATACATCAATCTCTATGGCAATGTTTTCATTCGACATTTTTGTGTACTCAAAAAGTGAGTACACTCTAGAATCGGTCTGTATGTCAGGCCGTCCGGCCGTTTACACGATAACTTTTGAAAGGAGGGTCCGATCGCGATGAAATTTTCTACACAGTTTAGTCTTAACAATATCTCGCTCGAGAGAAGAAGATGAGAATGATTGGCCGAACCATTGCTGAGTTATTGCAAAAATAGTCATTTTTCCCTATGAGAAGATAGATCCTTCTCTGTTTTCATAAAAGACTTTTCCTATCATAGTCAAATAAAACCCCAACTATTATATACCATTCGATAGAGAATTTCACGAGCTACAAAATGGTATATAAAACATAAAGAAACAAGAAAGCTAACTCGCCTATTGCAAAGATAATTAATCGGAATTCGGTTCTGTTTTTGTCCACGCTCTATGTGATCCACAATTAGAGCCCTATCTTCCCATCACAGAGATGATAGTTCGAGGTTTTCTAGAATGGAGAACTCGAATCTATGTTCCATTCGCCTCGAAATCCCATTGGTTGAGCAGTGACCAATAGAAATCAAGTTATAGGAAAAACGACTTTCTGAGGATAACTCAAGGCGAAGAGTTCAAATCTGAGCTGTATTCACCCTGAAATCCTATTGGTTGAGCAGTAGCCTATAGAAATCAAGTGTTTATAGAAAGAGTTTGTCAGGCTAATCTTTATATTCACACATTCTAGGATGACCGATTTGTCTTATTCACTTATTGAAGTACACATAACTCTCGGATTTAAATCCGAGGTTTCCACATTTATTTTCTTTATCTCTACTTTTTAGATAGATAAGTGGTTGTATATGAGGGAGGCCAGCCTCTATTTATCTCAGTCTCCGTCTCAACAAAAATTCTGCTAGCAGAGAGTTCAAAATAATTCGCTATCAGCATCCATCAGTTTGAGATACTTTGCTTGTGATGCAGTTAGTCTCGATTATCCTCCTTGTAAAATACTCATTTAGACATGAACAGAACTGTCCCGTTCATGTCTATAAACAGTGCATACTGTACGAGATAAAGACTCGAATATTACCGGCAGTATTTTATGACTTAAGAGCAGTAGCGGATCTAGAATTTTGGTAAATGGGGACTCTTCGGCGGAGAAAGGAGGCGATCATGGTGGAAAAACGTTTTTTGAAGTCCATTAGAGGCAATATCGGCTCATTTTTTTAGCCTCTTCTGCTAGGACAAGTCGACAAAATTTTCAGGCAGGAAGGGCGATCGTTCCCAGTGTTCTCCCTTCGAAATCCGTCACTGCTTACGAGACGTTATAGTTGATCACTTATATGACAGTATCCACTTGAATTTCTTAATCCTTCAGTTGCACGATATAAAATTAGATTTGTTATTTACTTATTTAGTTATCTATAATCATCTTCGTTTTTTTCTTTAGAAATTGTTGTGAACAAAACATAATAAAACACTAATTTTTTGCACTTGAATTGATAAATTAAGAGAGAACCCATGAGGGGACCGAGTATACGAGGCACTCGATAAAAAAAAAATTTTGATTTTTTTTGCTAGTTCAAAGCATCAATGTCTGAAACCATCAACCCCAAAATTTTAGGTTCTAATACCCTTCCTTTGAAAAGTTAGCCAATACCAACTTTTAGCACTATCGTATCTTTTAGGGATAAAACAAGAAAAAATACCCTAAAAAAAAAGATGTGCCAGCTTGCGTCTCAAGAAATCATTGAAATTTTTCATCGTATATATGAGAAGATAGAGAATTAAAAGCTGAACAAAACAAGCTATATTCATATAATACAATGCCTACCCAGTGAAAAATATTTTGAAAAAGTCCGGAACAGAATGGTTTCATAAAAATATGGAAACCTTTTTTCTATGTAGAGAATGCGTTCCTTTTGCTAGTGAATGCGTTCATGTTCAAGAAGAAACACTCTCAGTCTGAAGGAACTCGTTCTTTGCCATTCTACAACACGACGGAATGCTTTCTTTTCTATTAAGAAATTATTCTTTATTTGACGAGAAAGCATTCCAAACCATTCTTAAACCAATAGAATCCACCCTAGTTCGTTCTCTTTCGGAACGGCATAGATAGCATTCCATCGAAATAAGATCACTTTCTTTTACGTTTTCTAGAGAAACATTAAAAGAATGAATTCTTCTAAGTGAGGAACACTTTCTTTTGGAATTGAAGCACATTTCGATTCAAAAATCAAAGATCCGAAGCAAAGCAGGTTGAAACTGATGTGAGAAATGGTGGAACCTTCAGCTACTTATTCTTTGGGGATGCTACTTCTAATTTAGAAAAAGCATGATTTTGATAAGGGTGTGAGTTACAAAGATTTGGAGCACGCCATTCGATCGAGCTTGTCGAGTTACCCCGGAAACGGTCTTCTGACGAATTAAAGATCTATCCGTTAATGAATAGCCGTATGATCAAAAAAGTTTCCTTCTCTCAAGAAGAGAAAGCATTCCAAAAATGGTGGAAAACGTTCCAAAAGTGATGGAATGCTTTTCTGATCGTTCCGTTTTTGGAACGACTAATAATGCTTTCCAAAAGTGATAGAATGCATTCTAGACCGTTCCATTTTGGAACGCGTTCCGTTTTTATAGCGAGCGTTTTTTTTCTTAAAAAAAGTTTTCTACAAAAATGGAACGCGTTCTTTGCCGTTTTTTTCATGAATATTTTTCACTGGGTAAGATAAGACGTTCTTTTATCAATGTTTTTAGTTAGCATTGATATAGACATTTATTTTTCAAAATAAAAGTTAACTTTTATTGAAAACCGCATTATTTTACTTTTTTGATGAATTTTGAGAGGCTACTCATTCTCTTTGTTCTTCAATTTTGTAATTTTTCTGAAACTTTTTTTAAAGTCTTTTTATAGGTTTTGTAGAGCGAAAAATTCTCTACAAGATGCACTATATAAAAGTTGATCACCGGCCTTTTATCGTGTTGAAAAAGAGTTTACAATGAAAAAGAATTGGTCTAAAACATGCAAAACTTTTCAGAAAAAAATTTTTTTCGGCATCAAGATTCAATTTTTTGAGGAAACTGTAGGAAGCTTTTTGTTCAGTTTTGGGCGCTCTTTCCAATGGGATGTTGCCCGACAAAAACGAACAAAAAATGGTGAAGATAAAAACGAAATAATGGAACCGATTTTTTTTCGATTTTCCAAAGACCCCTCTTATGTTTCACTGCCTGTAACTCAGTCAGATTACATAATCGAAGCATAAAAAATTTTTCATAACCCCAGTTTTCTGTGAAGAATCGATTGATGAAAAAAGAAAGTATATGTTAATTTCGAACATAAAATGAGTCTATGCCTAGATGCTTGATTCTATGGAGAATTCTCTCTTAAAATTTTTCTAGGACTTCTAGTTTAGAAGCGAAAATTATTTCAATTACAGCAAATGAAAGAGCAAGCATTTCTCAATAAAATGGTATATTAATGATTAGTTAGCTCTATTTTTATGGAAAACAGATTTGCAAAGTGAGTTCAGGCTCTCTTGAATCTTATATCACTTTGTGGAGAACAATTTTGCCTTTAATTCTATGCAAAAAATTCGATAATATAGTGTATACAGTAAAGAAGACTGTAGTAGCCAAAAACATCAATTTTCTCCATCCAAACTTAATTTTCATGCCTCTAAAAGGTCAGCTCACTACTTCTGAATTAGAGGGCTTACAAAAATTTTGAAGCTATATTCAGAAAGAATATACAAATCTAATTCTAACTCAATCTCCAGGCTCCTTAAAAAGGCTTAAAAATCAATGAACATGTTTTTCAATTATTACTTTTCAATCATCTATTATTATCTTGATATGACAAAATATTCATATATTAATTATAAAATTTGAAAAAAATAAATTACTCTGTGAATCACTGAGATGACCATCATTTCGAGTTCGAGTCGGTAAAGTAACAATAATCGATGACGAACTAGAGGATGTTGTTGATAATGAAAGACTATAAACTGTAAGTTCAAGAAAATGACCTTCATGATCTCTATCATCCACATCTGACTGATTATCATTTTTATTCTCGACTGTTGTTATTGGAGTTGATTTCTTGATGGAAGGTGGTGGATGTTCATCAGCCTCATCCGAAGAACTCATTTGATGAATAGCTTTTCGTTGTTTTGGTTTTTTAACATCAGAAATAATTGCTGGTGTTGGTGGTGTATGAGATAAATCTTTTTTATTTGAATTATTTTTTGAAAGATCAATATCATTTGTATCAAATTCGTAATCAGTATTAGTTTCATATTGATGAGTAAAATTATAAATTTCATCAAGAATTTTAATAAGTCGTCCTTTAGCTTGTGAAGTTGATAGACCATAACGCATAGCATGATTTTTTAATTGTTCAATATCCATTGATTTATAATCTGGTTTAGGTGAAAATGGTGATGGTGGCCGATATTCAGACATTGGTTTCTTTTTGTTCTTTTGTTTGTTTAATGATTTTTTTCTTTTGCGATTACTAATTTGATTAGATGTTGATAACGTTGATGGAAATGTTAAAATATCAAGAATATTATTTTCAGTTGTTGTAGAAATTTGTTTATTTGGAGATAAAATAATATCTCGTGAAGGAGAAGGAGGTACATCAATATCAGGTATAGAATAAAGTTTTAAATGTTCTTCATCATTTAATCTATTATCGACTAATGGCCATTGATCCCAATAATTATTAACTTTAAAATATAAAACTTTATTAGTCTTTCTTTGAAACAAAAAAACAAAAAACAAATTATAAATTACTTGGCTCATAATCAATTTGTTTTGTAGTTGTTACTTGATCTAAACTATCATCTAATATTATAATTGATTGTTGTTTGATTGAACTTGTATCTTGATAATTATTTTCTTTTTCATTAGTATTATTTAAATCATTCGTTATATCAAGTGGTGGTGGTGTATAAGCTTCTGTTCGATCATCATTATCATCATCATCATCACCATTATCTTGATTAACATCTATCATCATCATCATCTTCAACAAAAAAAAACGAACTCTATTAAATCTTCTATTTATTTGATCTTTTGTTTTTCTCTAAATTATCGAAATTTCTTTTTTTTTATTTTTCTTAGCAAAAAGTACAAAAGAAAAAACAGATTTTCACTGGATGAAATCATGCCATTAGTTCATCATCATCATCATTAAGTATTCGAGCTAATTGTGTCATCGGGATCTGAAAAAAGTGTAGAAAAAAAGAAATTATTATATTTATAAGGTGCCAATAATGCAAAATTCGAATGGATTTTTTTGCTCGCTCACTTATATATGGTTGGATAGGGCTTGACGAGCTGGTCACGAATATATGGTTATTATTTCGAGCCGACGATCGTTTGCCGGAAAAGAACAGTACAAAACTCAAATAATTGAAAATGTAGCAGTGATAATTAAGAACTCGCACTTTTTGTTTTTTTTACAGAAATTGTCAAATTTCGATTTATGTCATTTTTTCAAAATTTATGAAAACATATTATTGTGGTTTAGCACCAAAAATTGAATAGAAAAATATTATTTGATTAGGTTTAAAGTTAATAAGGTTAAAAATGTTTCGTCCAATATAGATAGTTTTAACATGCCTCATAGCACGTAGTTGTAAGTATTCTTGTAACTTATCTAGTTTTTCGTAACAAGAGATAGAAGCAAGTGCCTTATCTCATTAGAATCATCAGGTTGTGAGCTACAAAAATACCTATTTAGGTTTTTAAGTTTTTGCCTTTTGAATTTTTTTTCTCATTCGATGGTAAAATTAAGCAAAAGAATAAAAGATGTGTCTTGTATTTAGTGATTTTTATTACCATGGTCTAGTTAAAAATCGAAATAGATAGCATATTCAGAATAAGTATCAAAAACTGTATGAAATCACATATGTTTTAATAAAAACTGTTTCCAATGAAGAAATACCTCTGGTTCCCTCAGATCTATTTTTCTGAAATTTTGCTTCTAGCCCTCCAGAGGTCCGTTTTCCCAGGAAAAAAAAGATTTCTAAAAACATATCTGGTTCGATGCAGTTTTTTTACACTTATTCTGAATATGCTATCTATTTTGATTTTTAACTGAATTATGATCATAACAACTGCTAAATACGAGCACATTTTTTATTCTTTTGTCTAATACTATCACCCAACGGAGAAAAATAAAATTTTGTTACAAAAAGCTAGATACGCTTACAAGAATATTTACATATACGTGTTATGAGATATGTTGGAGCTATCTGTATTGGACAAGATTTTTTAACTTTATTTGAAAAACTATTTTATCGAAATTTGACAATTTCTATAGAAAAAAAAGACGGATTCATAGTTATCAAGGCTACATTTTCAATCATTCGAGTTTTGTACGGTTCTTTTCCGGTAAACAGTGATCGAATCAAAATAAAAAACTATATATTCATGACCATTTTCGTCAAGCTCTATTCAACCATATATAAACGAGCGAGAAAAGAAATTCATTCAAATCTTGCATTATGAACTCCTTACTTCATCATCATGAGGATTAGAGACCTGCGGAGTACTCCGAAACCCGATTTCAACTCCGACTCCGTCGGAGTCGGAGTCGGAGCCGGAGTCAGCAAAAAGAAATTTTTCGGAGTCGGAGTCGGAGTCGGGTTTTCTGAAAAAAATTTTCGGAGTCAAAGTCCTGACCATGTTTGAATAACTTTTGCTGTTTCAAATAAGAGCATCTTTATTCTTCAGCTTAACAAACAAAAAAAAGAGAGATAACAGTTGCTACATATATTAAGAACGAGTTTCAAGGAAAAACCTCACATTGATAATCTTTTGGCTGTATCGTTCAAAAGACTGGCTACGTAAAAGCATAATGTCATCAATGAAAATATATTGCAATTTCATTAGAAGTACTACAATTCTCTTGATCATCAATTTTTGATTCCTTGAACATAGTACATATCGAAAACTTGTCAGTGATTGTTTTTTATTTCCACTGAATCACAAATGTACAAGAAATTTCAAATTAATCTATTAAAGATTCTTAGATATTCCTTCACTCGTTTGTTCCTTTATCGTTCAGGACTACATTACTATTACTGGTAGTAAGTAATAGCATATAAGGTTATTAATTATTATATGTAATTAGAAATAATCTGCGAAAGTAACAGAGGGAAGAAAGTAAAAATGTTATAAAGTAGTATAGTATTAAAACTAGTAACTCATAGAAGCAATATTGTTATTAGTTTATTACTAGCAATAAAGTATATAAAATTATTACCAGTTACCCAGTAATAGTATAAAAAAATAATACAGTAAAACCTCTAGTAGTGAGCGCCTCTCTACAGTGAAAACCTCGTTATTATTAGTGTTTTTCACGAGTCCGGAAAGGCAATTTTTGCTGAAAATGGACCTTCCGAAGGCGAACATCTGATTATAAGGAACATTTTTCAATAGTCTCGATCGTGCTCACTTTAGAGAGACTTCATGGTAGTAATGTAGCAACCTTATTATTGATTTCCGCATGTTGTAAATTAAACAATAAAACATATTTGAGATTTCCTTTTATTGATAAAAAAAATTCGGAGTTTCTCGGAGTTTTTCGGAGTTGGAATCGGAGTCAAAAAATAAAAATTTCCGGAGTCGGAGTCGGAGTCAGAGTTGTAAAGAAGAAATTTTTCGGAGTCGGAGTCGGGTTTCGGAATAAAAAAACCTGACTCCGCAGGTCCCTAATGAGGATCAGTTGTTGTTATATTCCACCAATTGACATGACCAAAATTTGTTTGGGATACAACTTGAAGAGAACTTAAAGGAAATTTATATGCATTTTCTGAAGGTATTATTGTAATTAGACGTTCACATAGATTTGATAAACGTATTGAACATAGTTTTAGTTTATCTTCCATTGAGACATTCCATAATGGTACTGTTAATAAACTAAATGTAGATGATAGAATTCATTCATAGATAGAAATTAAAGAAAAAGAAAAGAGATTTACTCTATTGTTTTGATTTTTTTCGATACAGCTTGAAGAATATCGAAAGCATTAGGAGGTTCTATAGCAGTTTTAATTGAAGTTGAAAGTGCTATTGCCTTTAATAAAAATAAATAATAATTTAAAACGTATTGTTTTTCGATTAAAAAGTTTTACTAATTGTTGTTGTTCATCATCTTCAGTTTTAGGTATTTCCATTTTAATAATTCGATTTTTAATATTTGTTCCTATTTGTTTCTTTATTGTAGTAATTGATTTTGATTCCTTGATATTTGTTGTAGTTTTAGTAACAAAATTAACAACATGCTTTAATTGAACACTATTTTGATTCGAACATTTTTTAAGATGTGATAAATAACTATGTTTTACATGAAATGACATTCCACAAATTTGACATTTAAAATTTGATAAT